TTCTTGATCAAAGGTCCATTTGCATGGAAACACGAGACAGTTTTATTCGACTAGTTTTATTGATGCGCACTCAAATATTCACTACGCATGACATGCCAGCAACAACGTCGATAACCATCCCCGAATATTCAAAACGATAAATGAGCTGTACTTTGACATATACACAGATCCTTGTTAGATCATGAATTGTGACCAATTTCATTTTATTCTTTGCAACTCCTACGACAAGATTCTATACTTCAATCATTTTTTAAAATAAAATACCATTATCATTAGTATCACTCGATTATCTATCTCTCGTGGTATATCGATAGTTAGTTAGAAATGATTTTCTTTGGATTAAAAAAACCAACATGAAAAATGCTCGAAAGTTTGAGGAAATGAAATTTTTATTTCTGTGCAATACCAGATTCTATTAGCTTGAAACTTGTATTGCTGGTAGTACTGGCTGGATGGAAAAACGCCGAAGAAAAAATATCGAAGTAATTTTCGTCGAAGGAAAGAAATGTCGAAGGGAAGAAATATCGAAGGAAAAATGTCGAAAATTGCAAGATGTCCTTATAAACAATATTAATTTTCTTTCGTTCTATATTTTCATTTAAATTTTCCACGATTAGCCAATTATACTATAATTGTACTGTTGAACTTTATTTGTTTATTTTTTTTTAATAAGCCCCCCCGTCACACAAAATAGAAGCCCGCCTCTGGGTTTAAAATTTCTGTTGAAAGTCGAGATGCACTTCGTGAAAAATAAACTAAAATCGATGAAAAATGAAAGAATCAATATTTCTATATCAAATAACGTAAGAACTGACACTAAAGCACGCTTTGTTAAGAAGTTATACCTTGTAGAACAGAGGCCCCTCCACCCATGGGCTTCTATTCTGAGGACGTCGTTTAATTAATTTTAATTATTTACATATCTATGCTTCATCCTATTGAATAAAATGAACTTCTCATCTTTCTGATGCAAAGCAATAAGCTTTATTTTTTCGATATTTTTTTCTTCGGCCTTTATCATGCATACCGTAGTGTTAGGCAGTTAACGTCACTATAGAAAAAAAACTTCATAGTGTAAATTAGAAGGCTTACAACAAAACTAACGAATCAATCTCTGCGTTACATGTGTGTTCATGAATAGCGAAGTGGTCATGATTTTTGACTACATGCTAATAGATACGAACGCTAGTCTTAATATGTTTGTGATGAAAGATATAGAATCTAAAAGAATAAAGAATAGGTTTTGATTATATTATTCTACGAGATTTTTCAGTAAATAATCTTTTCATTAATAGTGAGTGTTTAACTGATGTAATTCGCCTTGTTCTTGTCTCTACTGTAGTATCCTGCGGGAACGACTTTTTCTGATTCCCATTCCCTATTCCCATTCCCTAAAAAACAAATTTTGGTTCCCATTCCCTTTTTCCCATTCCCTAAAAAAAATTTTTGTTCCCATTCCCCTTTTCCCATTCCCTAGAAAAAATTTTTTGTTCCCATTCCCATGGTTCCCATAAGATTTTCTAAGGCTCTGTTCATCTATGCGAAAGTGTCATTGGCATATATGTATACCAGTTTCTCGCAACATCACGTTTTGCGCATCGCGACGCCGTTACATAATGCTTCACTTATTTTCTTTTTCTGTTTTGTTGTGCTTGTTGGCATTGGTTAAGCAGGTGTTCCTGCGTATATGCACTATACATTCAAGCTGGTGTGCTTTTTCCTTAAAAAAGTGTTCCACTGTGTAATTAGAAAATGTATAGTCCAACATAGTGTTCATCATATAGAGAGAATGTTCCTCTTATAGTAAAGTGTTCCCCTCCCCTCACCCAAATAGAAAATCAAAAAAATTATAGATAAATATTGAGATTATTTATTGATAAATCGTTTGTTTTTTTGTTGTAAATAACCTTAATATTTATTTATAGTTTTTTTTATTTTCTATTTGAGGGAAGGAAGAGAAAATAATGATGTATCGCAAGATGATCTTGGTAATGTCATTTTCGAAGTCGATGATGAAAAAGAAAATAATATTTGTGATGATTAAATTACGATGTGATTAAGAATAAATCAATAGTCTATTTTTTGTTGATACACATTTGTTATTTTTTTGTTAATTGTATATGAATAAGAAAAGTTATTGAAAATAAACAGTTATCAGATAGAAATATTTTTATATGTATTGATATAAGATAAAAAGAATTTTGGGAACGTCAATTTTTAATTTTGTTCCCATTCCCATGTTCCCATTCCCTAAGTCTAAATGGGAATTCCCATTCCCATTCCCATGGGAATGGGAATGGGAAAATTAGGGAAAAAAGTCGTTCCCGCAGGACACTACTCTGCTGACATAAACAGAAAATTCTTCATGCTTCTAAACAGCAATAAGAGAAACACTAAACTGAAATTAGTGATGATCAATCGCTGCAAATTTAACTAGGTTTCTTAATCCGAATAGAGAGTTTCAATAAAAGCGCTAAAATTTAAAGACTAATCTATATTCAGTCGTTCGCATGGGAATACTGATCTGTCAGATGTATCATCTGCTAGTAGACTACATGAAGGAAAAATGAAATAAGTTCTTCAAACACAAACTCAAATTACGCATTAGATACAAATGAAACAGATATCCAGAAAAAATTGCTAATTATGAGAGAAAGGGTAAATAACACTATCATGTAACGAACATATGGCTAATTAAACGAATAACGGACACGAATGAGATACTTGACTTAATTAAATAATGCTGATAAAAAATAAAACAAATAAGAACTGAGGAGCGGAAAAAAAGTACATTTCAAAATGTTTATAAACCGTGAGACCATTAAAATCATTCTTCATTGACTTATAATATCCTTCTACTATAACGATGCAATAATAATCAAAACCATTGAGAACCAGAATGTTCAATGAACTACATAATTCTAGAGAGAATACGACTTATGAAAACTCAAAACAATGTTGAAAGAGGTTAGGCAAAAAAAACTTACAAAATTCTTGTTTCTTTTTTTAATCTCTTTACAATGAATGTATATTTGTCTTTGCTTGTGTGAGTTCTAAATAGTATTTCGAATATGTTGTAGAACTCTTCTATGATTCATCGAAAACTACGTAAATTAAAGCTATAATGCATGTGATTGGTCGAAAATATCACTCGATCCAAAGTATGTGAATTTAGCGTTTAACACGTAGGCAAGTAATATAAAAAACAAAAACCAAGGTAGTTACGCTTCAATCGTCTTTGCTCGGTTAAAGCAAGTTATTTTTTTATTTTTCGACGCGCTTCAGAAACATAACTACTTCGTCGTTGTATAGTTGGTAAGATTGTTTCTGTCTTTTAACAATATTAAGTAGTAATATATAATAAGCTTCATTTATTCTTTATCATTGTTCAGTCATATAATGTTCTAGAGTTTAGTTCTTCTACACGTTATGCAAGACCCTTATTCGCATGTGCGCTCTGTCGTACGCGAAAATCATTGTATGGGTGAGAATAGTGCATATTCGGCACAAAAACACTCCATTTTCTTATTTATTCATGCAGAACAGAAAATTGAAGAACACTAATAGTTGCAAGGAACTTTGGCTGTCAAATACATAGACTACTTCTTTGTGTTTAAGCTAATCTTTTTGAGATGACTTTTTTTTGAATGCATTGAATTACTTCAAAAAAAAACCCGGAAAATAATAGGTGATTCTTGAATGCCATAGTATTCGTTCAGTAGAATATGTTTAGAAATATGTTTCCTTAGCTGATTTTTTCGCGTTTATACGTGTTTTAGCTGCCTAAGCAAGAAGAGATATAATACTTTATGATAATTCACCATACTTTAAAATACTTTATCGTCCTTTAATGTACTTTACCTTATTTTATCGTGTATAGACGTATCTGATCGTACTTCACTGTATTTCATTGTCCTTTAATGTACGTTACCTTATATTAAAGTGCATCAAGGTGTCTAATCACACTTTACCATACTTTATCGTACTTTAATGTTCGTTAACTTACCTTATCGTACTTTTTTTGTTTCACTTGTTTTGTCTATGTAGACTAAACATTTTACTTCTACTGAAATTACACTAACAGAATACAAACTATATGATCAGCAGAGATAAAATATGGTGCAGTATAGAGTTCTCTAATTGAACCCTTCAACAATGTATTCTTTACTATTGATAACCATTGATCAAAAATATGCTCTTTTTTTTAACAATCCGAGATGCCTGGAAGAAAACAGAGCGCGATAGTTAGTTATAGAGTTCTAGTTACCAAATAATTGGTACCTTAAAAATTTAGTCGACAATGCTAATCTGTATTCCGTTTCGTAAAATTCGTCATATTGGTTTCTCTTTAAAAGAAAGTCATCATTTTCTTGAAATACCCGTTCATTCTCAAGAAATAAGAAGATGACTTTTGTTAAACCGATCACAGATTCAGCTTTCTCTATCCTGAGAGCGTTTGTTCAAACTTTATGGAAAACCATTATCTTTCTGTTACACTTTTTCCTTGCCTATAGATTTTAGTCATACGGTTTAAGAGACAATTCAAGCGTAACGTTTCGATGTCAAAGAACTATTTCATAAACAACATTGAAAAATACTATTTTTCGTGTTTTATCTGAGTGAATTATCGATGCAGTCTTGGGTACCCATTTGAAGAGAATACATTGTTCTACATTTTCCGAATCCATTTCAGTGTTCCTCATTTGAAAAATGCTCATGTGTATTAGTAACTATTATTTCACTAATATTTTACACCAATAGATTGATCATTAATATTTCCACATCGAGTCAAGGTTCAACGCTACATCATGTCACTCATGATTTTGATTATCTTTTGCACAACTATTTTTCATGCGCAAAGCGCTACGTACAATATTTATCCTACAACTACAAGCTGGCAAAATATTTTGACTCAGCTCCTGGCAGGTGATGTTGCTATCATGCATTCTGGCATCTATACCACATCGGGTTCTGGCTACTTCCAACTGACTTTGAACGGTATGCTAAACAACCCGATTATTATTCAAGGTGCACCCAATGAGACACGTCCGATTATACAAGGTCCTGTAGCTAGTGCGAGTGCTCAAAATATTATAAATATTCAAGGTTCAAATTTTATGGTGAAAGGAATAGCATTTACCAAAGGTTCAAGAGGAATTCGTCTTGGACCAAATGGTATGTTATTCCAGGTCTCTTAGTTCCTATTACTATCTTATTTTTTCCTTAAACTTAATATTTAGTTATAAAAAATGCAGTTTTCGACGATATTTTCATTTACAACATTACTGGCACGGCAATTTCAGCCAACGATGCCGGTAATGAATATTCCAATATAACGTTAAGAAACAGTGAAATAACAAATACAAACACAATGGGTAAATATGAATTATCAATTCTGCTTTTTTGTACTGTCTTATTATTGTTTTTACCAATACAGCTAATACCACCGGTGAATGTGTTTATTTTGGATGTAGCAATGACGCATGTCGAATTCGTGATTCTATTATCGAACATAACTACTGCCATGATACACTTAATTCAGCAGGAGGATCACGGGCTGGATTTCAAGTCAAAGTAAATCTAGATTGATGTTGATTTGCTAAATAACTTTGTGTTTGTTTAGTCCGGCTCATACAATGTTATTATTCGTAATAATGTTTGTTACAAGGTAGTTGGACCTTGTATTATTGTTTATGATGATTATGATCGTGGACGAAATTTGATTGATGGAAACTTAGCAATTTATGCTGGAACAGCTGATCTTGGAATACAATGTACATCTGGAGCAACAATCACTAATAATATTGTGATTAATGCTAGTAGGTGCAAAATTTTCATATGAAAGAGTCGATCGTACTCTTTTCTATAGACTTGTATCATTTTTTATTAAAAAGTGGTGAGGATTATTTTAAGTCGGATATTTTGGACGATATCTTGCCATTGTTCAATGTCTAGAACTTCATAAGACAATTTTTATTAGAATAATTGAAATGAAAAGTTTCGATAAAAATAAAAATATTTTTAGGCTTAAAGAAATTTTTTTTCTTATTTATTCGTCTTACGTTCAACGAGGCGATTAGAATTTTCTTTTCAAAAAAGAGCATATTGCTGGACAGAAATAAACTCAAGAAAACTTTAATAGAAAAACTCAATAAAATTAACTATTTTATTGATTTTTAACTGTTAGCTCTTTCTGGAATTGGCGTCATTGAAAATTCGATTTATCCTGCTATCAACTATATTCGAAACATAACGATTAGTCGAAATACTGTTTACATGTCGAAAGCGGATGCATGTCTTCGTCTCAATGGCGTTACAAATCAGTCTATAATAATATCCAATAATGTATTATACTGCGGAAGTCAATCATCAATCAAGTCTACGAAGGCTTTGAAAGGTAAGCTTATACAAGCACTAGCAAAGTATTTGAGAAACTTCTAACGTTTTTATTGTTCTAGGTGCTTCAATTTACAATAATGCTATCAATGGTGCTCTTGATGCTACAGGTATTCAAGTAAATGGAACATTCGGAGTGTCCAGCAATGTCTTCGTTGATGCTACAGCCAATAAACTTTATCCAGCAGTAAACTCTCCACTGATCAATAAAGGTGCCAATCCACTGAATCAAGTTCTTTATGATTACAACGGAATGCAGCGATCAAATACAACACCAACTGTTGGTGCATACGTGAGCAGAAATGACAACACTTTATTTACTCATTACTAATCTAATATCTTCCTCTATTCTTTAGGAATATTCCACTACAAACAATCCTGGTTGTGCGATAACGTACAGTTTTAAATGTGGCTCATCCACAGCTGCTGTACCACAATATCCTTTATTTCCCTGAACATCGACGTGATCTTAGCCAAAACTTTAAACATTTTCGTTTTATTGCTATTCATATCGAGCATTCTAAAGAACTTTGCTTTTTAGACGCCATTTTCTAAAGAATTCCAGACAATGCTTATTGCCGTAACTCTACACTTGCACAAATCTATTATCAATATGTTATGCTCTATTCTTCTTTCATCTTCCATCAGCTTCTCTTTCTTCTCATTCTCTATACTCACATATAACTTTTTATTTTAACTTATTTTACTTATTTATTCCTTCAGAAAATAAAGATCGTACAAAAATATACCAAGGCATATATGAGTGGGCATGCTCGAACCTGTGATACCTTCATTCTGATTTGTTTACAGAACTTAAACCAAATATAAAAAGAATACGACTGGTTTATTAGTTAAAATACAACTATGATGCTTATAATCTGTTATTGTTTGAGTTCTATGTCTCATTAATACAATTAGAATATTGAAACAGCTTGAATTATCAGCATCGACTTCTCATTATCAAGTCGTAAATCAATAACTACAGCTAATTTCTCTAGCAGTGTAAAACTCGAAATATAAATTGAATGAAAATCTCAAGTTTCAAGTTTTGAAATATTAACAAAATTCATATTTGAAGTTTAACATGCATGACCCAATAGAGTCACTTCAGTTCTGTTAGACTGATAACATCAATACTCGCAATACCAACTATTATGATAACAGTCGCTTTATTATACACGAGAAATTGAGTATAATGATTGATCGTATTGGCTATATAAATATTTATCATAAAATCTAGTATGGAATTCAATGCTCTATTGAACACTCTCAACGAGTTACAGGTTACTCTGAGAATACCAGTACAGGCGTATTAGTCACAATTGAAAATCAGTTCGAATCAAAACATATTAATATGCATGACTCAGTGTTTGTTGTTAGTGTTAAGCATTTTGTATTAAAATCAAAAGTAATTTTTTATAACTTGTTTTAGTTTTCAGTAAAGCCAGTATTAAAGTTCAACGAGTCATTGTTGTAGAGTTCTAAACAGCCGTATATGCTTCTATTTTGGCTGTTGACGTAATACAGTATTATGATCATATATCTCCATGATCGGAAACAGAAAAATATGATTCTATACGAAGAAAAGAGTGTGGGTGTGGGTGTAGATGTTAGTTCTTATCTCCTCTCGATCCAAACCCCACACCCCCAGCCCCAGCCACAGCCACAGTCACAGCCACACCCACCCACCCACACCCACACCCCACACCCCTACCCCCCCCCCCCCGGCCCCCCCCCCCCCCCCCCCAATGATAAGACTTGAGTGGCCAAGGTTATTGGCAACACCAGTAATTGTTGTGACAAGGGTACCACGTGACACGTGCATTGTTTTGGTCAAGGCTGTCTCCCAAACTCTGGCAGTGGTTGGGCAAGGCTACCCCTATTACTGGCAATTCAACTTGATGGCATAACAGTTCAGCGCAAAAGTTGCATAGCTTGGACGCACGGTTCCACGTAATAGTTACACTAGTTGGGGTGAGTGTAGCCCGCTGTACAAACACTTGATGAGCCGAAGGCATTGGCTAATACTAGTATTTTTGGACCCTTCGATATCTCCAATGGTAGGGCTTGTCGACAGAAGGGTACCCCCAATAGTTGCTCTTGAGGACCAAGGCTATGAGATTGATAGTGCTAGGTAGTCCCCTGATCGTTAGGTGCGTTTTTGGGTAACTGGGAACGGGGCGTTATCGTTCCCATGGAACTGCGAACTTTTTGTTACCGTCATCGTCCTTGGGAATGGTTTGAGAACGGTAACTTCCCATTCCTAGATGTACTTAGTGTTTGTATCTCGCCGTATATGACACAGTGTGCTACTGCCATAGTACTGTCGCTATCAAACGGGCGAAATATGAACCGTTTACGTCATCATAAATCGTTTTTTACAGTCGTCGGAGACATCAACCTGGGTACTCAAAGGAGCAGGACTGCATCAGTTAGAGATAGTATGTAAATTGTAACTATTGTGTTATTTCTCCTTTCTCGTATATCTTTTGTGGTCTAATTGGCTCTTTTCGTTTTCTTTGCGATGAGTTAATAATCTCATATAATTCTTTTTCAAACAAAATATTTATTTTAATGAATACGAAATTTATTTAACGACATTTATAACAGATTAGCGAGAGCACAAATCGAATTATAACGATAAGTAAGAACATTTTTTTCATTTTCTATTCAGGTCTGGTGGCCTAATGGATGGAAAAAAAGATACATAAGCTGATGGTCTTCAATCTCGATATTAGTTTCTCTGTTCTCATAACAATGACGTACCCATCTGTCACTTTTAGTAGAGATAAAAACTGTGCTGTTATATCTCTTACCGCATTTTCAGTTATGTATCATGACCGTAATAAATTTTATTTTTAATATCTGCTTATAATCTAGCTCTTGCTTCCGGTTTGTAAGAAAAAGTTTTTAGATCTCATTAGACTACGAAAGTTGTATTGAGTACAGGGTGTCTTACAACTATGCATGTAGTCAAATTTTATTCACAGGAGAATATTAATCAACTGTTTTTGTTTTCATCGTAATCCACAGTGATGAAAATGAAAACAACATTAAAAACAAAGAACACAGTAAAAATTTAGAAGACAGAAGAATATATACTTACAAGAAAAGGAACAAGGAATCTCTAGTAATTGTAGTGTTAATGGTTATTCAATAAAGAGATTGTCACAATACATGATTCGCGTCTTCTAACCTGCCTTTAGTTTTAAAAAATTTAGGAAGGTTTATATACCTTGCGTTCCCAAAAAATTTCATGTTTGTTTCAAATTATAAGTTACAGTCACAGAGGTTTGATACTTTTAATATGTCAACCCTTTTACTTTAATAATACAACAGCGATACAGCGTGATTGGCATAATATTTGATCACTATGCTCGACAAGATGTATCTTACATTGCCTTTGATATTTATCAGTGATTTAGCAGTAAAAAGCCGTTCACCGTCCATCACAAGCTTCTCTTTTCCAGAAACCTGATACTATTCTGTTTGATTACAGTTGTTTTTAGATATGATATCGTTAAACCATTTTCACGAGCTTTATCTGTATAATTAGAAATGTGGGTTTCGGTGAAAAAACAAAGTTTTCATCGGATTATTACCATGCTCCAATGCTGACATTTACTCCAGTATTGAATTGATTCTTTGTGTTGGATTAACGAAACGCAAACGTGAAATATAGTATCAAAAACTTTTTGTTGAATAGTCTTATTCTACAAAGCAGAAAACCAAAACTTCTGTTTTTACATCACATCCTGACTTAGAGGTAATTGCAAAAAAACATCATTTTTTTAATAAGCCAGAAGCAAGATATAAAACTAATCTAGCTACGAAAACATACTTTTGAATTATATCGGTCGTGATCAGCGTAGGAACGTTTTTGTAGTGAAAAATCATTGCTAAAATAATGCAACAATACAGAATTTTACTGTTCATAATTATATTTATCACTGGTTCATCGAAAATATGTGGACAACAATATGAGTGGTTTGGCGACTATCAATGGTCCGATGATGAATGTAATCAAACACAATGTTGTTGTCTGCATGGAACATTATCTGTCATTGGTAATGATACATCAATTGGATTTATTTCAAATTTGAGTGGTCGAGATTGTGAAAAGGAAACTTTCAATTTATGGGCGCCATATTCGAGAGATGTTACTCAAGTTATAGGAAGATTATATGGATCAATACTGATATCTTTAACCATCAGTGAAAATAGTAACATAATTACATTAACCAGATTGGATACATCGGATTGTAATTTAAAAGCTAAAAAAACTTCTTAGCGCAGCCCCTTTGGGGCTAAAATGTGGAACTCACATATCTCTTTTGGTTTCATTATACTAATGGCACAATACCCAATATTTAAAATCTCCAAAAGAAAATAGTTCTTTTGGGTGTGGGTGGGTGTGGGGTGTGGGTTTGTGGGTGTGTGGGTGTG